TGCTCCTTTTTTCCTATCAAACATCTATGGTCCTTATCTCTCCTCCTTTTTTGTGTTTGTTTCTCTCTTGGAACACCTCTAATTTTTGCGCTTATGTGACCTTATTGTGTTGCCAGTGCCGTAAAACTCTTATCAAAACTAAATAGTATGTATATTTTATTTAATATGTTGGTTTAGTTTTGAAACGTTACTCCCATACCGGACTCTCTTCTTCCACAGAAATCAGATTTCATCAAGCATGCTTTCCGAATGGTTCGCATGATGACCCTTGCGACTAGTCGAAGCAAAAGGTAAGGGAAAATACAAGTACATGTACTTTGTCGTTTGTTCTGTCAGCCACTTTCTACATTTACGCCGTGTCTCCATAATAATGGATGTGTCTGAGCTTGTGCATGAAAATACACTTTTCTTTTTTTAAAGGATTTTTTGGTCAAATGTAGTCGAACCTGTCCAACACAACGGCCGATTGTCGAGGAGAAAAGTAGCCATCTTAGACAGGTGGCTTTCTTGGACAATGTTATTATAATATCGAAAAAAAAAAGAAACACCCGTAGGATATGCACGGATGTGGTTGGGGGGGGGGGGGAGTTCTCGTTTGTACAGGCGATTGTCTGGAACAGGTGGTCGTTAGTGTAGGTTTGACTGTATTTCCTTCACGTCCTGCTATTCTATTTGAGTCTCAAGCTATGAGCAGATTAGGCATTCACAAACTGTTTGTAAAGGTACAGTTCTCTCATCATGTTCATCATTGGGGGAATTAGCCACGACATAAATTCATTTTTTGCTTCAACTTCCAACGGCAAGATCTACTCTGTCTGCGCAGCGCGAACTTTGTTGTCGAGTTTTGAATGGGTAAGGGGGAGAGAGGGGTGTTAAATATTTAAAACCAAGAAAAACAACAAAAACATAATCATTTAAAAGTGAAGAAGAAAAACATGCCTCCCCTGACCCAACTTCGCTATCAAACCGGGTTCAACTTCCCACGAGGAGATCAGAGCCCATCTCAAACAGTCGAAAGTGAGATACTTCAAATTGGAGATCTATAGTATTCTTTTATATTAAACATTTAAGAAGAAACGATTTTTTAAAAATGCAGCCTCAAGGAAAAATATGATTAAGTTAAGGCAAATAGATACAAACTGCTGTGCGTTGCTGACATTGATTCACCCGATAAAGAGATATTTGGAGAAAAGTTGCGCCACGATTTTTTGACCGCACTATTTTTATAGTAGTACATCATGTAGCAGTAGTTATAGCCTAGCAGAAGTAGTACATGTACTACACTGCGTCACATTTTGCCCAAAATCAGAATACTTAGTGGCTCACTGAGGCCTCGTGGTGAAATCTCGTCAAAGACCTTGTCAAAGTAACGAAATTGGAGAAACATACATTTTCCCGCCAGTTTGGCAATTTTTATAGAATTTTTTGTTTTTTGACTTAACACTTTTCAGGTCCATTTAAAAACACTTTTCTTTCAGTGTGAAATTTACTGAAAACCATTTATTAAAGGCACACAAAGTACATTTTCAGTTTTCAAGGACTCTCAAGCTTTGGAAATCACCAAACTTTGTTGACCGCGCTAGGCCTAATTTTCCTCTGAAACCAGGCGACCCTGACCTCCTTCAATCGTAAATACCTTGACTTCTATTCAAGACTGACGTGTATTTTTACATCAAGAGATGGTAAAAAAAAACAAGCTTTAAGATGATACCAATAACTCCAGATGCCCAAAAATTGACGAGCGCCTGATTCCACCTCGCTGTGACACAAAGTTTTATTTCGAGCTCCGCACGAGCGAGAGCCATGAACTCTTCACCTCAGGATGTCCGATAACGTGGGAAAGCTCAGAAACTCACGGACGTTTGGACTGGGTCTGATCCGACCATCCGGTTGTGGATTCGGATCAAAAAGAGGAGTAATAGTGCATTTGGGAATACACATGATCTTGGCCTAGGAAGAATTCAGATTATTGAAAACCTACGCTTAAACAAGACACGGCCGGCACAATTCTTGCTCTTGCAGTTGGTGAAAAGGCATTTTTTACAATTATCTGTGTCAGTGACCTGTGTTGTGTTCAATCACTTCTAATTTGAGGTATAAATTCACCAAATTTGCGCTCCAATAGCTCTAAAAAGTTCATATTATTTGCCAAAAACCATAGCGTGACTTGAGACACGAGCGCCGAGGTATCGTGGACAGTTTGAGGAGAGTGAAATTATTATGAAATCACAACACTTACAGACCTTAAAGACTGCGCAACGACTTTGCGAGCAAGCGCTGTTCCTCTTCAATTAAACAATAAAACTTTTTTGAAATATTAATGGTTCAGTGTAGTGAAGGTAACAACTTTATAAGTGAAGGTGTGTGTCAGTCAATCGATTTCAACGAACTGGAAAGTGAAAGAAAGCAGATAGAGCAATATAGTAATATTATAATACTATTATAGTTGATCTAGTGTGTTCTTTTTGTTTGTATGGGATTACTATTTGAGTTCCGATGACTTCATTTGGTGGGTACATTGTTTTTAATGTGTTTTCTTTCATTGTACAAAAATATCAGGCACATCTATCGTTCATATATCTACTTTTTAAATTGTGGTTACGTAACTTACGTCACACACAGCTTCAACATTCTCCTCTTCCCATACTCAGTTTTTAGTTTATAAAAAACTAATAGCTTCTAATTATCCAAATTGTTATAAATCTAAATTCTTCAAAACATAAGTTCTATTTCTTCATGCATGTGGGATGGGGTTCCCAGAGTGTACCGATACAATTTATTTTGCGCATAATAATATGAGTAAAGTGGAAAACACAAAAACGTGTTGCCCGGGCTCTGACCCCGGGGTCACGCTGACCTCACAGTGCCTCTCAGGGAATGCACTCACAAACTAAAGTATTCTGAATGTGATGAAGTGAGGAGCAGTACAATAATATGTAGTAGCAGCTACAGTGGAAGCAGCAGCAACGATAATGATAGTAGTAACAGTAGCTACAGCAGCTCATCAGCAGCAGAAAATAGTATATATAGTAGAAATAGTAATAGTATCATTAACTGTCATGCAAACGTAGCTTACCCAGAAACAAAAAACAAAAACAAAAAAATAAAAATTAATGATAATGTTTTCAGATACTTCAACCCTGACGACCCTGACGCCGGCCCAGCAACCATGCGGAAACAAAGACAAATCTACAAAAAGGGCAAAGTCCAGCAAGTCAAAGCCAGTGTAAGATTGGTGCTACATTATAATTTACCATGTTGGTTTGTTTGTCCAAGATGTGTTTCAATGGTTGTCGTGTAAGCCATTTCGAGATATATATTATAATAATCTGAACTTAAGCCAAAAGCAGTGTTTGTCAACCCATTTTTCCACCTTTAAAGAGGCTAACACTTTTTCTAACTGCCCTCCTACACACATGTTCATTTCAAAGTGCAGCATAATATGTAAAACCTGTCAGTACCAAGGTGATCCTCATCGATTGCCCACTCACTAAAATTACCTAATTGCCCCCTAAATGGCGATATCGTTGAGGTTGGCAAGCAATAGTTTAAAACGTTCTGAGGGCTTTAAGAAAATGCTCTGGCCTTCAGGGTCTCTGGATTCCCAGTAATTCTCTTTCTTATATGACATGAAGATTTAATGCCTTGTACTTTCATTTTTATTCTTTTTAAATGTAGGCATTCTACGCTCTCATTGACTTAATTTAAGTGATTTATGAGACGAGCTTTAACCTTGTTGTCTACGCCAACCTGGACTGAGAGGGATATAACGTCTATTGCAGAAAGACCGAGATATTCCATATAACAATTCAGCCCAAATGTTAATCGAACTCAATTGGGTCTTCTGTTTGTCCTGGTGAAGTACCTAAATGCTTTGCCACAAACGCCAATATCTTAACTTTATACGAAGATGGTTGCAAAATGAAACTAGTTAACATACTACTTCAAGTATTGCTTTTGAACCCTGGATATTAACACTAAAAGGGAACAGAAAACAGAAAGATAAGCCAAAAGTGAGCCAGCAACTCTGCTGTGTACCAATTTCTTTCATATTATGTTTCGTCTTTATTCATTATTATTTCTCTTTGGCTTTCCATCCATTATATCGAATAGGACTAAAGTAATGCACATGATTTTTACAGCTTTTCCTGAGTTGTAGGCATAGCCGAAGTTGATTGCCAAAATATTAAGCAACTTCAAACCCTTAAAATCTTGACTTCCTTGATTCTCCAAAGGAGACTCAGCCAGGGCATTTGGTATCACGGAAGATATGAGTCAGTGTGTCGCAATAGTCAGTCTGTGTAAAAGCGATATTCTTAGGATCCTTAAATTCTGAATTTTATTTTTTAGAGGTAAATGAAGAGAGAATAAGAGAGTACACTTTGTTTAGATAATCTGCCTTTGCATATTATATTATCGAGATTTTCCTCTATTTGTCATTCTAGATCAGCTTTGAATTGCAAGAGGTATTGGAAACAAATCCAGTCTACAGAACACAAGACCATATCAAGAGGGTGAGGTTCTTTCCACTTTTGGCCTAGGCCCACAAACCAAAAACTTTCTGCATAGAGAAAAGAATTGTAATCCATTCTTTATACTCAAATTATGTATAAAATCTTTTCTGGCTTCTTTCAACATTTACAATCTGAATTTCAACAACATTTTGCTCGAGCACACCCAATGGGTACTACAGATTAAGAAACTACAATTGAAAAAATCACAATTTTGGGCTTATAGTACATGTACATCTGAAGAACAGGCCGTCGACTTGCTTCTGTTCTGCACAAACTACATACACATACACATTTATTTAAACAATACATTAATATTGGTGGTATTCGACTCAAACTTTGTATCCCTCATTTATGTTCAAACAATGTTTTTAAAAATCTCGTATTACGTTATTCACATCCATTTACAAATGGGGATATCCTAACTATCAGGGTAGGAGCCTGTTTCCCTTTATTTTTAAACTATTTTTTGGGGCTGCCCTGTCGTAGTCAAGATCATAAAATAGAGACCAAAGCTATAGCCCCTCTATGGTAGTCAAATATCAAAGAACTGAGATCAAAGCTACTCGTATATCTCCTCCGCCGTCAAGTCAACAAAACTCTTGGTGAACAATGCTCATCTCTTCCCTCAGGTGACATGGTTGCTGAAAACAACGAAAGCTTTCAAACACCTTTTTCCCACTGAGATGATTGAGGAGGTGGCCAAAGTGGTGGCATATGACAGGTTTGCACACATTATAATAATTGCAATGATTAAAATAGTGCATATCCAGGTCATACATTGGTGCTAACCTGACCAAAACTCTATTGATAGTGTCATAAAACACCTATTCAATAAAAAAATTTAAAAAACGAGGCTATACAACATGCTCTATTTTTTAATGTATTTTTTTTTTAACACCCTACTGACATAAGATGCCTATCAGAGCCCACCGGTGAAGTGAAAGATACAAAATTGCAGCAGAAAGACCAAAATACTTGATAAAAATTTATTCCCTCTTGGGAATCGACCTCGAGACTCCTGCATGTAACATCGTAGTCTCTCTACAACACCACAGACTCCAGTAGTGTGCTCTATGCACTTTACAACTACTATTACCCCAGCAGACCCTAGAACACTCAGAAGCTTTGTCGGCTTCCCGGAAAGCATATAGTGCACTTGAACACTAACAAATTTACAAATGTTTTACTATCTTAAGCGGAGCACCCATTTCCACTTGGATGAAGTGAGGGAAATTCCTTTAAAATGCCTTTCCCAAGGACACAACATTGGGCTCCTGTGGGATGCAACCAATGATCATTCGGTTACAAGCCGACAAATCCTTTTCTTTTCTAGGATACCAATAGTCATTGTCATCTAGCAAATCAAGCTTTTTTTCTGTTATGTCATCGATCAAGTGCCATTCTTTCCGTTGTTTTCTGCCTGCCTATCGTTTTTACTGCACTAAATAGCAGTTATTATGTCGACCACCATCGCCACCATCATCCTGATCATCATCACCCCCCCCTCCCCCTCCCTGGGCCGCCCCAGTGTTTTATTTTATAGGCAACGTTACTAAAAAATTTTTACCCCCCCCCCACACACACACACACATACACACATACACAATGTAAGGCAATATAAAAACAGGGATAGAATGAGGAGGATGGATATTTGAATATTTCTGCCCAGTTGTCCATCATCGATGACAGTATTCTAAGCTAAAATTGATATTGGAGTTAAACAAATTTTGTTTTAAAATAAGGAAAAGAACCCAGCCAAAAACACATTACGTCTTTAGAGATTAGAGAATAATTTTATTTTATATTGCAAATATTCCAAGTAATGACTTTGCGGGTTCAATTTGCAACACACTATAATCTAATATTATTGTTAGCCACATATTGTTCTTAATGGCTATTCTGCTTGGAGAAAAATACCCATGAAGAAGGTTATAATTTATTATCTGCTTTTGCTTTCAAAATTCTCAAACTCTGACGTCCAGTATCTCAAAATTTCTTACATGTTAATGCAGATAGGACCCATTTAATTTCATAAATAATATTACTTATTATGGTAACTCTCCTCACTTCAGGTATGATGACAACCGCCATATTGCATACCAAGGGAGACCACCGGAAATGTTCTATTACGTGCTTGCTGGTAGAAGTAAGTTCCCCTATATAGACCAATGGGAAAAAAAAGATTTGATTGCTTTTGCTAGCACCGCTGTTTTGCTTGCTTAAATGATAACCATTCCTTTTTGTTGTTATCAACATTGTTGTAGTATTTCATGTGTTTATCATCTTTACTATTCTCATTCTCATTCTCATCATCTTCATCATCGTTATCATTATCAAGAACAAAATTACCATCTTTATCATCTTCTTGTCATTCCCAAAGTCCACAAATTGCGGGAGTACAAGCTCACCTCTGGCTGTGTCAACAAGCCAATGGGCTTCATGCATAAGGGATCTACCTCAGACGTGAGTACTACAAGTAGTGTCACAATAAAACATTTTTTCAATATTATTAAGAAAAGTTAAGAATCTTAATTACAGCTGAAAGACTCAATATCTTCGCAAAACCCTAATAATAATAATATAGATAATGATAATAAAAAAACCCCAACAACACCAATAATAATAATCATAATGATAATAATAATAATAATAATAATAAATAATGATAACATGTTTATTGTTATTATTATTATTAATAATAATAATAATAATAATAATAATAAAAATAATAATAATAATAACAATAATAATAATACGACATGTAAGCCTACTATTAATTTTTCCTTGTTTTTTCAGCCAGAGGAAATGGAACATCAGTGGAACCGTGAGTGCCATCTAGTGTCCAAAGGCCCAGTGGAGGTGCTGGTCTTGTCAAGAGAGGTCAGTTTACTTTGTCAAAAACATTTTTTTGCCAAACTGGGCAAAATTGCCCACTAATTGTGGGGTATTTGATCTTTCTGGTGAATGGAGGAGACCACCCGAATGATGATTGATGCTATTTTATGCTCCGCTTAGAAATACGTGTAAGAGGATGGTACAAAGATTTGAGCAATTTTAATGTCGCAAAAGTTTGCGCTGGCTGTGAAAAGGTTGACAATCACTGGTCTGGAAGAACAGTTTATTAAGTTTTAAGTAGGCTATGCATCAGTTTGACATTTATAGCCTATAGTTCACAGCCCCGGTTAAAAAACCCAGGCTCTGGAAGATGTGAATTTTGGACAAAAGTCAATTGAATGACAGCAACATTTTGTTTAATAATTCAAACGGAAGAAGAAGAAGAAGAAGAAGAAGAAAAAGAAGAAGAAGAAGAAGAAGAAGAAGAAGAAGAAGAAGAAGAAGAAGAAGAAGAAGAAGAAAAAGAAAAAGAAGAAGAAGAAGAAGAAGAAAAAGAAGGAGAAGAAGAAGAAGAAGAAGAATGATAACCATATTAATACAAGTATTATGTATGTTTGTCATGTCATATACCATGAAATAAGAGTTTGCATGTAACAGTATTTTTCATTTTCTAGCCTTTGTAAAACCCTAATTATGGATTAGAAATTTAATTTGCTTTGTTTTTATTTCAGGACTTTACAAGGCTTCAACATACAACACAAGGGCCACCAATAGACTTTTTATAGTGAGTCACGCCACCTAGTAGGCCTAAGTTTGTAAATGTATAAAGGTAGAAGTAACAACATTACTAATATCACCTTGTATTTTTTCTACTTCGCGATAGAAAAATATAATTAATTTAATATTCTCCTCTGCTGATATATTAGCCATTGTTTGACACTGATAAACAATTTATTGTAACTGATAAATTTTAATGATATTCACAATGAAGTATGTTTGATATGGTTAAGTAGAGTATTCTTTTTAGTTGATTTAAGTTAGTGGTTGGCAAATCCTCTGGTGTGGTTTGCTCCTTCTTTCCTATCCAACATCTATCGTTCTTATCTCTTGCTCCTTCTCCTTTTGTTTATATATTACTATTTAGTAACACCTGTAATCTTTGGCACTTATATGACCTTATTGTGCTTGAAGTGCTGCAAAACTCATACTAGATATAAACCTTTAACTTAATACTCAATGGTATTTTTGGGGGGGGGGGAATCTATTTGTATGCCCACATAGCCTACTGCCCGCTTCTTTCCAGTCACTCACACAAGTATGAAAGTTACTGAACAAAACTAAATTTTGCTTGGCCCCCCACCCTCTTTTTTTCCCCACAGCTCAAACAAACAAGACATGTAGATTTGTATATCCATAGGTCTATCTATTTGTGAATAAATCACTCTTCTGCCTGTCTATAACAGATAAATCAGTGTGTGACAACTTAGGTGATATATCGCTTCTTACTGGCTAAAAAAATGTAAGCCTGCAACAAGGTAGAGCTTTGTCTGTTTATTCTTTGTTTATTTTATTTTTATTAATTTTTGTTTATTTGTTTTTTTTCAGCTTTTCTTTTTTTTCGGTTGGGGAGGGGGAAGGGGGAGACTTGTTTCCTTCAGGGACCCATCTGCTTCTAGAATGTTATATTCTAGACCATTTGAATCTATAATTATTAGAAGTATAATTCCAGAATGCCAGAGTCCCGATTCATTCTCTTCTTTTTGTCAAAAGCTAAACTTAATCCACTGCATACGAAAGAAAAATTAAGATCTTGTTTTTCTTTCTTGTTTCCCTTCAGTTCTATAGATCTGTTCAAGGAGTTTCCATGTGAAATGTTCATTGACAACGAAGATGCCATTATTTACAAGTATTATGGGTAAGTCTTACTCCCTCCATTTTTTGATAGACTTCTTTGTTTGATTTAAATGCGACCTTTTCACTGTGGTGACAACATAAATTTTTCTTATTGTAATTCTGTTTTTTAATGCAGAGATGCTTTCCTGTCATATTCTCTTCTTGGAGATGATTTTTTTTCTTTTCTTACATTTGACAGGACTAGTTATCATTCTGTCTGCTTGTAACGATTGCTTTGAGTACTACATGCAAGTGTTTTGACGTTCCTAAAGACACCTCTACAGCTACTGGAGTAATGTTTTCGTGATCTCTTAGAGATAAAACTCAAATTCCTAAATACAAATACATCCCTTTGATTGCCAAAGAATTTTTTGTATATAAGAGAACAGAGAAAGAGATGCACTTTATGTCAGCTAGTAGAAGGTTCACCTAATATTACACTGATGGTCAGTCTATTGGAAAATAGATTACGTCTGTTAATCATAAAAAATACTGCAAAAGTTTAATGTGTCTCGCCTGCTCATATGACCTTATGCAGTTGCGAGCGCCGTAAAACACTTACCAGAAAATAAACAAAAGCATTTTTAAAATCATAAATATTTGTCAGCAAACTCCCCTTTGCATTTGTCTCCGCTAAATTGAATTATTATTATTTTTTAAAGTTTCGAATCGGTATGTGAAGACCTGACAATTCTGTAACGCTTTTGTCTATAAATTGAAATGGGTTCTTTTCAATGAACATAATATTGAAGACTGAGCACTCTCCCTACTTCTGCTTTGGTATTTAAAAAATCTTCCCTTCTCATTAAAATGTGCGATTTTATAGCGATTTAATTGTGATTATTAAAATGTTTCTTAGAAAAGACTTGTACAATGTCCCTGGGTTAGTTTATGAGTACAGTAGTACTTTACTCATCATTAGGCTACATCTATGCACCGAATTCAAATTTCTGTTGTTTTCTTTCTGTCTTCTCAGGCAAAACAGGGTGATCACCCCTAATGTCAACCGGACAGCCTGGCTTCATGTGGTAAAATCTGTAAGTTTTGCACAATAAAATTATTTTTTTGCTTTGATTTATCCTCTAGATGGAATATATTGATTCTTTCTTTCTTTTTTTTTTCTTTCTTTTGTTCTTTCTTTCATTCTGTCCGTCTTTCTGTCTTTCTTTCTTTCTTTTCTGTTTCTTTTTCTTTATTTTGAAGCATTGTTCCTCCTTCTAATGTTAAGCAAAGTTCTCACCTCAGTCTTCAATAGCATGCGGCTTGAACTATAGAATCATTCCTCACTTTAAGGATGCAGCAGACAAATAAAAAGCTTGATCAGAAGAGGGCTAGAGGCAATGTTGTGGTACGTAGCGAATCCAACATACACAAATCAGACATGCGCTTTGCAAATTTCGTAGTTTGCATAATTGTTGCAGGTCTTTTAAAGTTTCAGATAAGGAAAGCACAATTGAGAAATCAAATATGAATAACAATGTTATGCTTCTTTTTTAGAGTACTCCAAAACAGGGCATCTTCTTATAGTGCAAAATGTGCGCACTCAATGAGTTAAAGTACTGGTTTTGGGGGGAGTTATTTTATTTATTAATTGTTTATTAATTTAAAAAAAAAATTTTTTAGGGTGGGTGTTCATGTGTATTGTTGCAGAACAGGGCCTCTTCTTTTGCATCTGCCATGCTGAAACCGATAATATATTTTGTTTCCAATACAGTCAGTTTATTTGGATGCTTTTGGAACCTAAGTCTTCACACATCAATATCTTCAGCGTCTGTGGTGTAGTGATTAGGTACCTCAATGTCACGTGCAAGAGACCCGAGTTCGATCCCTAAATTGGGGATACATTATCGAGTATTTCAGTCTTTCTGCTGGGATGTTTATGTATCTCTGTCAGACCTGGTTGGCCTCAACAGGCAGGGTAGGAAGCCGGCCCCATCCTAATTAAATCAAATTATGATATTATAAATATTGTCGATGGGGGTTTATAAACTACTATATAACAACCCCTCCCCCCCCCCCCCAAGAAAAAAACAACTAAAAAACAACTTATGAATATCCAGCTACGTTTTCATTCCCCACAGGGTCATGTCAAAGTGGTGAGGCGACAGACGGTGGTTGACGTACGGGGAGACACGAAGTTCCAAAGCAAGAACTCCGAGGACTTGGGTTGTGGGCGCTCCTTCAGCCATGCGAAAGGTCAGTCTGTTTTTTGTTTATTTATTTTTTTGAGTAAAAAGCAACTTATCGACAAATTAACGGACATTTAATGCGGTGAAAAAGTAAGACAGACAGACAGAAATAACAGAGGGAGAGAAAAAGAAGCAGGACTTACCAGTGGCGTCCTCCAACCATCCCCTCTCAGTCTGTTAAAGTTAAACTTATCGGTGGCTGATAGTTGTTGCTTCCATTTGCACATATAGATGTGGGCTATCTCCGTGTCTCTCTGAGCATGTTCATCAGTTTACTGGTCGGTCTATTTCTGTGTACAATGTATGTGTTATTGTATATATATATATATTCTCTGACTTTTTTTAATGAATCCAATTGGCAGTGTGCAGAGGGTATTAAGGAAGAGAGTAAGCATATTAGTTGGGTTTTTTTTTACTTTATCTTTATTCCTAGAGTTACTTGTTTTGTGCTTTACATTATAATTCGTCTAATCATTGACTGATGATGACCTTTCAAATCTAAGTCGGAAGAGAAGCTTTAGACCTTGACAGGTGGCTAGCATGATAAATGCAGTGAATAAAATAATAACAAGTAACTTGTAAAAATCTCTAACGCTGCCACAACCCATTGCAGATAGCAATGTCTTTCTTCTTCCCAAAGTGTGTGCTAATATGTCTAAACATAATATTATGGGTAGTTAACTTTTTTATGGCTTTGGTTGTAACCTTCAAGCGCTGTTCTTTTTCCAAGTAATATTCTACAGAGTACTTATATGGTCTGGTCTGTTGGGCAAGTGTCAATGTCAGTATCTGAATGTCTTGCTTTTCTGGCTGCCTCTGCTTTACAAACTCTGTTTAAAAAATCAAAAGCTTAAAAAAACAACCTTGCTACCATGTATTACGGCTTTATATCACTGTGCTTGACATAGGTTATGACATGGGAATATCAAAGTTATCGCGTGATCATATTATTAATCAAACACCATAAATTTGAACTCCTATTTTTGATTAACTTTTTTTGTCACATTCCATCTCAACAGCTATGCTGGGGAACTTGATTAGTCAACGGAAGATGAAGAACCTGACGGACATTTCTTTACCTGATGTAAGTATGTTTGTTGATAAAAGATTTTTTTTTTCTAGGCTAGAAGAAACACACAAAATTTAGATGACGCTTCAATTGTTAATCAGTCCTCAATTTTGCTGTGTGTTTTTCGGTTGTGACTGTCTGTATTTCATAAGTAAACCTTTGTGTCAAGTCTGTGTGTAAAAACAATGTTATAGGATCGTTGTGAGACCTCATTTTTGTCTTCATGATTGAGCCTGAAGACTGAATCAAGAAATTTGAGTTTAAAATGTTGTAGGATCTTTGTTTGGTTTCGTGAGAATTTTATGGTATTTGTTAGACAAATAGATCATGAAGTGCCGAAGATTGGAAATATTACAAGAGAGCATCACACAAACGAAAGAAGAAAGATATATTAAGGACGACAGCCTAGATGTTTCATAGGAAGAAGGAGCAAACCATACCAGAGCGCCCACCGACCACTTTCTATGGAACCATATACTGACTATGAAAGGAAATAACTTGTCAGGACACTTTTTCCATGTTATAGGAGTTTAAATAAAGATGCACATTTAAGTCATTAATTGATAATGCTTGAAGACACGCAGTTTTGGAGCACTAAAAAAAAAGTGTATTGTTGCTAATCGTGCCGATTTTTCAGTGCTCTTTCTATTACTTGCAACTTAAAGAGGCAGAAAACAACATACGCATTATAAAGTGTGCAAATTTATGTTTCTGTTTTGAATATTATAGTTCACAATATTGTTCAACGTTGCCTCTGATCTACTTCAGATCAGACGTAATAATAATATTACATGTCAGGTATGTCCATAAAATGTTAAAACTGATTTACCACCTGAAACATATTATCGGTGTCCGACTATAGATGTGTATCCACCAATTTAGGTCAAATTCTCTTTTGTTTCAAATGTTGTTAGTCACAACCGTAGATAATTACAACTGAGTAAAATAATAATAATGGTAATAATAATAATAATAATAATAATAATAATAATAATAATAATAATAATATGTTAAAATACAAGACAAAATTTTGAGTAATTTTGGGTACCCCCCCCCACACACACAAACTCATATGCCACACACCCACACATACACACACACACACACACACACACACACACACACACACACACACACACACACACAGACAGACACACTATTTTAAAAAATGGATGTTCATGCACATACACATTTAGAATGGGACATGGACGATATTTTTTATATGTCTAACGTTTTATCTTTTAAAACATTTTTTTCTCCCACAACCAGCTGATGAAAAGGCGGAGTACAACTCTACTGGAGGCAGGCATGAGAGGCGGCAGAAGCAAGAAGAAGCCAGTTTTAAAACTGACCACACCCATCATTCGAGAAATCCCCGCCCCCAAGACAGAGGTCACGGGAGAAATGGGTGACGTCAATGGGGAAACTTTGAAGGTGAGCAATTATAATTCTTTTCCTCCTCCTCCTCCTCCTCCTCCCCCTCCTCCTTTTAGTCAAGACAGTTGACATGTCTGTCGTTGCCACCACAGATCTCATTACCATCTTTTCCATGGTAATTTTATCTCGAATTTGATTGCTTCATTTAAATTGATTGAGGAGCGTAAGTTGCTTGCAACAAAGATAGTACAAGACAAGATGGGTCACTCAGCCTAAAAAGTGTCCGCAGGAAGTATGCTCTTTGCTTCAGATGGCGCTGCAGTCTGTTTTGAAGCTCTCTTTCGTTTTTCCAGAAGAAGAATAGGAATAGCACCTCCTTGCGTGCGCAGATCGACTGCTGTTCATCAGCAGTTCGAGTTCGTTCAGTGCAGAGTTTTAGGTTATTTATACTTTAATGACCTCTCGCCTTTCATTCTAAAGTCAAATTAAACGAAGAAAACAATCACCCTTTCCTCCGGAAGAGGTTTTTTGTCAGCGTAACCATTTTTAAAAAGCTTTCTTCCGAAATTTATCCCAAAACTTGCTAGTTTCACTTTGATTTTTAAAAACTCAAGTAGGGTAACTCTGTTCGCAAAGAGTGCGCTTTTGTGAAGAGGGCGCCACCAAATTTTGAGGACACTTTTTTAATTGGCTCAAAGAGAGAAGTGGCCCATCTTGTTATGTACTATCATTGCTTGCAATGCATAAGGTCGTATGAGTGCTCAAAACACATCTTGGTTGCATTCACGACAGTTCACATCATGGCTTAGTTTTGGTCGATGATCAGATTAAATTGCTGATTGAAGGGGATTGTTTGGTTGGAATAGAGGATACCTGTTGAAAACAACCTCATTTTTATTTGTTTTCAAATGGAGCTTGTAGTGAAACTGGAATGTTCTTTTTTCCTCCAGAATCCTCAAAAAGATTTCTCCCTGCCTCCCATCATTGTTGGAAATGGAGAACCTGGCACCTCGTCCACGGTGCAAAACGGTGCCACATCCCCCCGAAGTAACGGAGTGACATCACCGCGAGCTGTGAATCGTTTGGCTCTTTCTCTCCCTAATGGTGTCATCGTTGACCCCAGCAAGACTGGAGGAATTCAGGTGAGAGATGGTCAGGTCTTGTGCGTAAGTGTGGATGGCTTATGGTTTGTTGCGAAAATCTCCCCCCCCACACACACAAAAAAGTGCGGGGAGAGGAATTGTTGGACCATAACGCGAAGAACCTCTATTCTCTGGTCACAAAACGTTTCTTTTTTGTATGGCCTTTTCCATAAATGTGTCTACCATTTTAATTAACCTCATCTAGTTGTATTTTTTCCCAAAATGTCTAAAATAAGGTAATCAGTCTCTTATGAGAGTAACCTGGAAGGGAGGTTAAAAATTGTCTGGATGAAGTTGTTTTTTTCATCTATCTCTACCTATCTGGAACTCCTCTGTCCCTGTATATCAGAAGGATACAAAGTGGGAGGATAACTTAAGATTTTTTAAAGCGAAATACTTTATGAAATTCTATCTGAATAATAAGTCCTATTTTATATTCTAAATGCGATGTGCATAATCAATAGCAGTTCAGTACTTGAACAGATTTTCAGAACACGGCCTTTTTGGTGAAGAAGTGTGTGTGAGAAAAACGTACAGGCTGTCATGCTAACGCTAAACTTTGATGTCGAATAATAGCTGCAAAATATAATCCTGCCAGCCTCAATTGGTCCACGAACAGCGAGTTTGGGACCCCTGCATTAAATAATGCGCACCTTTACTTTCCCAGTGAAAATTGAATAAATTGTTGATGACTTGCACCACATTGCTTTACAACCCCCCC